CTCCATCTATCTCCATGTTGAACTGTTTTATGTGTTTATTGTATCCACTTATGATTGTATTATAATGGAAACACGTTCATGAACAATATAAGTTATTTGTTTTTAGGATCCCATTTGAGCCCCAGAGCAGACCGGAGATCTCTCCATTTGTTGAAAGCCTTCCCGATGTTGACCCTCGTCTTATTCGATGCCTGGCACTAGACAGAAGTTTTATTTTCTTTGTCTCACGTGGAGTTTGCGTTGGGCTTTGTAATGAACTACAAGCCGGTCTCTTTGAATCCATTTTCTACTTTTGTCGAAAGTTGACTAAAGTTGTGTCGCTCGAGTTGTCTTCACTGATACGGAGAATGGCAGCGAATACACAAACCTGCCAGACATAGCCAGGCGAGTGTGAACGCGCATGACGTCACGCCCAGTCTCAAATTCTGTCCCGAATCCCTCTTATTTATTTTACCGTACAGGATTATAGAGGCAATCGCAGTGATCAGAGAAGGGCTAATTATTTAAGCATGTATGGGTTAGAAAAACAGGTATTTTTAACATGAAATGTTGCACAATGCACCTTTAAGCATGGTTGAACAAACTTAAAGCAACCGTGAGAGGCTTTTTGTAGCAATGGCAGTGTGTATTTGTTTATTCATCTGAATGTCCAGAGATTAGTTTAATATGGTCTGTGTTAGAGTTTTGCATCCCATCATATTTGGCATATGGCCTCTGATGTCCCTATTTAACAGCTCAGTGGTGAAGTGAATTGATGTTACAGTGCCCAGGTTGGTGCGCTTCGAAACACTGCCCTCACTTATGAGGTCTCGCTCGGCACACGTCCATTCCACCGGCTGGTCGTATTAAGTCTAATTTAGGATTGTAGTCATGAAATCAATTACTCAGCAAATCCATAAAAGTCTTTTTTTAAGCTATTATTGTACGCATATTTATTTCCATGTCTAGATAAATGTTCTTTTGACTTTTCAAACCTTCATGACTTTATTTCTTCTGCGGCTTGCAAAGGAGAGGCTATAAGAATACTCTTTCATTGTATGAACATTGTAATCACCAGTGACTGTCACATTTTATAGAAAAGTGTCATTTAAGTTTGGCCACCTAAAGTTTCAGGAGTGATGCTTTTGAGTTTTTATGTCACTTATTTGTATGGCATTTTACAAACTTGTGTTGAAACACAATTAAGGCTTTGGAAACTCTTAGCTTGGATTGTTTCATATACAGTGGGGCCAAAAAGTATTTAGTCAGCCACTGATTGTGCAAGTTCTCCTACTTAGGATAATGAGAGAGGTCTGTAATTTTCATCATAGGAACACTTCAACTATGAGAGACAAAATGAGAAAAAAAATCCAGGAAATCACATTGTAGGATTTTTAAAGAATTTATTTGTAAATTATGGTGGAAAATAAGTATTTGGTCACCCACATGGTCAAAATGATCATGAGAACGGTGAGCAAAAATCCTAGAACTACACGGAGGGACCTGATGAATGACCTGCAGAGAGCTGGGACCAAAGTGACAAAGGCTACCATAAGTAACACACTACACCAAGAGGGACTCAAATCCTGCAGTGCCAGGCGTGTCCCCCTGCTTAAGCCAGTATGTCCAGGCCCGTCCGAAGTTTGCCTGAGAGCAAATGAGAAAACCCCTCAATTTACTTCCAAAGACTTGATGAAAGGAAAAAAAATCACTGCAGATCATAAAGCAGAACACTAGACAAGCATTGACTTCATGTTGGGACGTCTTGCTGAATGCCTCTCTTGACCAAGACAAATACAAAAGACTGACTTGAATATGCTAAAATTCATTTGGATAGACCTGTGGAGTTCTGGAAGAATGCTTTATGAAGTTATGTGACCAAACTGGAACTTTTTGGGCCAATCAGTGGTATGCAAAAAAGGCAAAGCTCATGAGTAGAAGAACACCATCTTCATGGTCAAACATGGACGTGGTCTAGTCTTGTTATGGGGGTGCTTTTCTGTTGCAGGAAGTGGAAAGCTTCATTATTTGAATATCAAGCCATTTTGGCAAAGATGGTGATGCCTCTGGAGCTTGATGATCAATGGACTTTCCTGCAGGACAGCCATCCCAAAGTATACATCCAAATCTACTTAAGCTTGGTTCAGGGATGAGTCGTAGAATGTTCTTGAGTTTTCAGATCTAAATCTTACTGAACATATTTGGTGGAATTTGAAGAAAGCAGTGGTAACGTGAATATTATCAGTGATCTGGAAGCTTTTTCCAGTGAGGAAGCCGATATTGCAGTAGAGAGGTGACAGAAGCTTCTAAGCACTTACAGGCAGCGGCTATTGGAAGATATAAAGAATAAAAGATTCTGCCAAAATTTGGGGGTTCAATAATTTTGTAAATAAATGTTTAGAGCCAATTAGATTTTTTCCCCATTTCTCATCAACTTTACACCTTCAGAATCTCTCAAATGTGTATTAATAAACTTTCTATTATAGTTTATGCCTTTGTTGAATGGTTTTCATAAATTTTTGTTCTCGGCTGCAAATTTATATCTGGCAGGTCAGGGGAGTTAAATAATTTCGATTGCAACTGTATAAGCGTTTTTTTGACTTGTTTTTTTTTTTTAGCTTGGCTTAAAGTGACCAGGTGCTGATCGTGATATATTGGTCCACTCTAAAAAATGGGTTTTAAACCCATCTTTGGGTCAAATATGGACAAACTCAGCCATGGGTTAAATGTTTAAATTACATTTTTAACCCAACATTTGGGTTTGTCCTTATTTTACCCAAATTTGGGTTAAAACAACCCAGCATTTATTAGTGTATTAATTTCAGCATAAATAATTTGGATTTATTTCAGTTTATTGTGGGCTTGTTCTTGTTCACTGTTTTCCCAGCAAGATCTGGCAACACGAATGAGTCGAGGGTCGTACTGCTTTCCCTGTGATTTCTTCATAAAGAAGACATTTTTTTGTTGATATATGTTAAATTATGTCATTGTTGATTGTTTGGTTCCATACACACTGCGTTGAATGGAAATGTTGTGGTCAGTTTTAGTAATAATCCGGCCATTGTCCCCTTAATATAGGCTACATATAGACTAGCCTGTCTCCTGTGTCTTCCACTTATCCAAAAGCATTTGATCTTGCCAGCATGTAAATCAGAGGATATATAATTTTAATAATGTGCATTTTCCTCCATTCTGCCTGTGAATTTTCCCCCATTCTGCCTGTGAAAGCAGAAGACACGCTATTCAGACGTGTCTAGAGAGAATCGAGAATGATCTATTTGAGGAGAAACTCATTTTCAGCCTCTTGCAAGTCTGATCTCGATCTCTCTCTCTCTCTCTCTCTCTCTCTCTCTCTCTCTCTCTCTCTCTCTCTCTCTCTCTCTCTCTCTCTCTCTCTCTCTCTCTCTCTCTCTCTCATCCTTTACTATTTTTGTAGGAAATTTCCCATTTGTCAGTTTTCCTGATAGTGTTTGATGAAGTTCCAGTAAATTACCAAATAGTGTGTGAAAGAGATGAAAAAGGAAAATGGGGAGTAATTCTTTCTGTAATACTTATATTGTTATGCGATTCACTCAAAAATGTAGTATTATTCTTTTAACAGTTTTGATAACCGGATAGAAGCTTCAAAAGTTTTTTTCTTTTTCTTTTTATTCTCGAGCGTCTTGTTTCTTGAGTTTGCCTTTATTTAGACCAATGAAAACATCTTCAAACAATAGCCTGCAGGATGATTTCCGGATGGACACATTTACTTTGATTTTGGATAAACTTCTGATTAATTGTTCATGCAAGACTAAAGAAAAAATACAAGGAGAATATGGATGCCAATGCACTAACACCAGATATTGAAGCTAATAACACACTTTCAGATTCAATTTAACTGTCAATTCATTTACAATATGTTGCTTTCAATATACAGTAAGTGTGTTAAATGACAAATTACTGAAAATAGCACTTTACTGCTGAAGTAAAACAATAATCATGCTTTTCTAGAACGTTTTTGTTCGCTCATATGGATTGTTAGGAAGTCTGATTCATTTAGTCATTTTGTTTGGGCAGTCTATGCACTATTTAGTTTCATTTTATTGTCAGTTGATATATTTCTCGTGGTTTGAGATATTTAATTGGATGCATACTGTATGTTTGTCACTGATTTTCTTACATAAAGGGTATTTCTGGTGGTAGTTTATTTATTTATTTTATTAATTTAGATAGCATTAATTCACCCTAAGAATTATTTACTGGGGTAAAGTCTGTAACTTGGGTTAAGTAAAAAAAAAAAAAAAACTTTTATTTAGCAAGGATATTTTAAATCGTTCAAAAGTAACAGCAAACAATTAATCAAATCAATTAATCAAATAATCCTGGATTTTTTTTTTATCACGGTTTCCACAAAAAAAATATCAAGCAGCACAAATTTTCGTTATTTTTCAATAGCAATAATATAATATTTAATAGTTTTACTGTTTTTACTGTAATTTTCTTTCAAGCCTTAAAGGGTTAATTCCCCCAAAAATGAAGATGATGTCATTAATGACTCACCCTCATGTTGTTCCAAACCCATAAGACCTCTGCTCATATTTGGTACACACTTTAAGATATTTTAGATTTAGTCTGAGAGTTTTCTGTCCCTCCATTAGAAATGTATGTACGGTATACTGTCCTTGTCCAGAAAGGAAATAAAGACATCATCAAAATAGTCCATGTGACATCAGTGGGTTAGTTAGAATGTTTTGAAGCATCGAAAATACATTTTGGTCCAAAAATAAAATCTAAAATATCTTAAACTGTGTTCCGAAGATGAACGGAGGTCTTACGGGCTTGGAACGACATGAGGGTGAGTCATTAATGACATCATTTTCATTTTTGGGTGAACTAACCATTTACTGTAATTGGTAAGAAATTAAGCACAAGCGGCTTACTACCAAACTTTGGAATGGAAGTATGTTTTTTTTTCTGTAATCTGCTTTTTATTTTTGATAAACCTTAATTATAGATGTTGGTGTTTTGTCTCTTGTCTAAAGATCTGTGTTCCCAAATGGACTTTCTCATGAATACTCCATCATCGCCACGTTCCGGCTCAGAAAAACCACAAAGAGAGATCGCTGGTTTGTTCTGCAGATCTTTGATAAAAGTGGAGAAACACAGGTGTGTAAAATATTTTTGATTTCATTAATTTTTTATCAGTAAAATACACATTGATCAATCTGGGTATGCTCAAAACTAGGGATGCACTGATATGAACATTTTGGCAAATACCGATAACTAATAATTCTTTATATTTGAAAGCCGATAACCAATATATTGGCTGATAAATAAATCCAAATTTGTATATAATCGTTAGAGCCTGATAAAAGAAAGTCCCTCCAATAAATGTCATGTCCCAATCACACAATTTGAATGTTCACTTTGTTCTGCACATGTTGTATTTAACGGTATTTTCCTTTTTTGAAGTGATTCTAATTATATTTAAAGCAATTCAAAACCATGGTGCACATCTGAAATGTTTATTATTTATCGACTTTAATATATCAGCCAATAACATTAAAAACGATACCTATAATGGTGGCTGATACATATCGTGCATCCCTAGAACTCCTGCAAGACTGACAAAATGATCATTATTTAAAGGGGTGGTTGATTGCGATTTCACTTTTTTTTATTTTAAATAGTGCGTAATGTTGCTGTTGGTGCATGAACAGTATCTGCAAAGTTGCAGCGCTGAAAGTTCAGTGTAAGCAGAGATATCGTCTTTTTAAAATCAGGAAGTATATTGCCTACAAAAACGACTCGATTGGGACTACAGCTGGGTTTTAGACGTCACTAACCCACACATTTACATCAACCCTCCTTCCGGAAAATGCAAAAAAGGGCATGGCCATATTCCCGCGGCTCGTCGAGTCTGTTATGTTCACGCAGCTGTCAGGTTTTCTGTGTTCGAGTTTCCCACGGACGCTATACTTCATAAACAATGGATACAATTTATGTTGGATTATGTTCCTGAAAATAACGATCATAATTTAGCTCTCTGTGCTGCACATTTTACGGAAGACAGCTTCCAGAATCTCCATGAATTAATTACCGGATTCAACAAGAAACTGTTACTAAAACATGAAGCAGTTCCAACTTTAAAACCAGAGGCAGCAGTTGTTGGGCCACAACCTGTAAGTAGGCTAAGACTTCATCATTTTAAATGTATTTGCATGTATAATTCCAGACATAGCCTTGTGTTTTAGTTTTATCAAATGCCAGCGCTGGCTTTATAGCCACTAGGCTACTAGTTATGCTATTGTGTCTACGACAAATGCGTACAAACATTTTGGACCTGAATTTTGTATAAGTACTAATGTTTTAAACGTATTTTTCATGTATATATGCTTTATGACGTTATTTTCGATTTGATCAAGAACGTAAACTAATGCCAACGCTATTTGAGTATAACATTAGTAGCCAGTCAGTTGCTATTGTTGCCAGTCAGGTGCTATTCTGTTAAACGTGTATAAAGTTAAAAAATTTAGCAAATTATCATTCAGAAACGTTTATTAAGAGCTGTGTGTGGTGAGGTTCTGTTTGACTCTCTTCATCGCCGCTTTCTCGGTCTGATTCTGCCTCAAACTGATACTGCAGTTCGACACCATTATTTACATCTGGACCGGAGCGCATGCACGTTTCGCCCGTAAAGGTAATGGGCGTTAACCTTCCGGACAACGTGAGCAACAGTTTAGCCAATCACAACACACCGGCCCAAACTAACCAATCTGAGCCCACTGCGTGTTTCTGAGGGAGTGGTTTCATAGACTCAGGAAGTCAACCACTCGTTCGAGGACAGAGGAGAGCGCGGCTGACAATAAAGGTGAAGTTTATGAAAAATAAGACTTTTTGAAAAAGAAAAACCACGAATACATGTTATATTGCACCCCATAAACACAATCATGCAAAGAAAAAAAGCAGTCAACCCCCCCTTTAAATTGTACTCTTGCAAAGTCATCTCTTCAGACTTCATTCAGCTTATCTCATTAACTGTCTTAATGAACCACTAATGTTCATCTTTTCTACTTCATTTAGGTGTCATTAATAGTGGATGGGGCTAAAAAAACAGTAGAGTTTTTAGCTCAGGGTTTTCTGAAGGACAGACTCCTGTACACCTTCAAGAACCGAGACCTACACGCCCTCTTCGATCGACAGTTTCACAAGCTGGGCGTTTCTGTCGAGAGCAACGCCGTCTCCATCTACCTGGACTGCAAATTAATCGAACGTCAGGTGACCGCTGAAAGGTCCGGCATGGATGCGAGCGGACGCACCTTCATCACCACTCGAGTGGAGGACGGACGTCCAGTGGATGTGAGTTTTGGACAGAGGTTCCCATCAATGGTCATAAATAAGGCAACACTCAGTTGCTAAAGCTGAATATGAATGCAAACACTTCTTGGAACATTTAGTACAGTTAGTGAATGTGAAGGCTCACCTCAAACTATGATGGCAACCACTAATATATTAAGGGAACTTCACTAACTTCAAGTCTGAACCTGACTCAGGTCAAAATTGAATAAGGTTTACTGCAAGTCTGTTGTATTCGTTTATCAGTTACGTGTGTTCATGCCAATAAATGCCAGTTTACCTTTACAGATTGAGCTTCAAGAGATTCTGGTCTTCTGTGATGCTAGAATAGCTGACATGGACAGATGCTGCGATTCTCCTGGAGTTACGGTAAGATGTGTAAGATATGGTGTATGGTGCTGCAGTGTGATACAAATCCTAACCAAATGTAAACCCAGCCCATAATTTTTGCACTAAACTTATTAAAATCCTCTGTAGTCAATAATTGTATCCCTTAAACCTCATGTTTGATCACCAAAATGACATATTTAAAAATTCTTTAGTGTACACGGTTCTATGAATATACAAATTAGCCCTGCCCTCACTCACACCTGCTCAGAGATCCACTCGTTGGTGATCACACGTTGACCTGAAGAGAGTTTTTGAGACTGTCTTTGGTTCACTGCAGTTTTAAGGAGAGAATACTCAGCAATGGTGCTCACTTATGAATTTGTGGTGTATTAAAAATACCACATAGGCATATAAACAACATTAAAACCTTGATTTTCACCACAGGGACTTGACATATTCATAAACTAATATCTGAACCGCCCAGTCACATTTTAAACCTGCTTTTGAATAACCTTATTCTTTCAGGTAATGGTTGAAAGATTGAATTGTCTCTTTTTGTTTTATTTGTTGTGGTAGTTTTCAAAAGCTCCATTCCAAAATCAAGTGAGCCACCTTCCATCTGCTGCCTACATAGACAGCTTCTGCTCATGTGATGGTTTTATTTGAGAAATAGACTTAAGTTTAAGGCATTGGCTGAAAATGATCAGTTTTTGGTCAATATTTATAATCATGTCCCTTTTGGCCTCTGTTGTTTTCAGTGTTTATCTCATTTCAGTGCACAGTGCAGTGGATTTCCCTCTCTGCAAGGGATCTATTTACATTTATTCATTTAGCAGTTATTCATTTTGAGCTAAATTGGCCTTTGGCCCCCTTAAATACATTTTATGTATATTATTAAATGTTGCATTTGCTACAGCAGAAACTCTCATCCTAAGCAACACACAATTGAGTAATACAACAAGTGATTCATCTTAAAGAAGCAATAAAGAAGTGCTTGTAAAACAAAGTTTAAATAATTGCTCAGGAGATTACAAGCTAGAATAGGGAGATATTTAGAAATATTGAGAGCAAAGACAAAGTAATATAGTCAAGTAGATGGATATTTAAGTAGGGATTGTTCACCCTAAAAAAAAAAAAAAAAAAAGGTCCTCGTTTACTCACCCTGGTTTAGTTTGGATGCTCTGTGCCCTTCGTTCTTTTATTCACCAAAAATTGTACCTCTCGCACTTGTCCATACCGTATAATGGCATTGAATAGATATCAGCATCAAAAGAATCATCGAATGGTCCCGTGCAACATGTGGCGTATTCCAAGTGTATGGTAAAAAAACAAACTAAAATGTAATCTATTATTTAAAGAAGTTTTTGACTTTGGCCGTTGGTCTTCTGTAGTCAACTCAAGAGGGTAATCCACCAGCCGGAAACTGAAGTCCCCCCGGGGGCCGCCATTGCAGCAGATCATCACCTGCTGTTAGCATTCCATTGACTCCCATTCATTTTGGCGTCACTTTACAGAGACTTTACATTTGAGGTGTTTAAAGACTCCATTTGTCCATTGTTTATTGCTAAAGAAACACAACAATGTATAAAAGGCTCCCTTATCTTGTATCTTACGTTATGGCCCCATATAAGCAGTTTTTGTACATATAGGCTAACGATTTTGTCATAACACGCGGCTCTCTGTCGCACAGTAGAGAAATTACTAGAGCCCGACCGATAAAGGATTTTGAAGGCCGATAAAGATACAAATATTTTGGGGTTTTAAAATCCGATATTCCGATAAATCGGCCGATATTTTATTTATTTATTTATTTATTTTTTAAACTGGACATGATAGTCACAAATTTTGTCATGCTTATTTGAGTTAAGAGAACTGACGGGGATGTTCTTTTAATTGTTATTCAAGCAATGTATGTATCGTGCCCAACTCAACGAGTGTTGCCAATAGGAATGGTGTAGAGTGCCCTCTGTTGGACAAACTATACAACTCCAACACTCATGACATGGTTCAAGCATGTTTCGTCCGTTTTTATTTTATTTTTGAAATATTAATTTATCGGCCATTATAACTGCCGATACCGATAGTATGGAAAATGCCTAATATCGGCCGATAATATCGGTCTGCCGATATATCGGTCTGGCTCTAGAAATTACCATATAGACAGGAGGAAAAACTCACGGGCAATCGGGGGAACGTGGAGGCATGAAGTCAAGGGAGAAGCCCATAGAGAGCAGTAGCTCCTGCAGACGCTCTCAGTCTCTGCAAGATTCGGAAAGGAATGATTCAGAATCCGCTTGGCACAGCTACTAAAAGACTTACAACTGTGAGACAGATTGCTCACGTCACATCTACGTCGCCAAGCTCAGTTTGAGCCTGCGCAGTATGCTTGGCTATCAGGAAGTGAGTGCTTCTGTTTGACTTCACTTTTCTCTGTTGAAGTCTATGGGGTCGCTGTGTCCATTTCTTTTACTGTCTATGGCTCGACTGCACGCCGTGAGTGTTTGTGCGACTCTATTAGCTCCGCAATTTGCTCCGTCACGCACAGAAAAAGCACACAAGTTGTGAGAAATTAAGTTTAACAATTCCTGAAAATCATTGTCAGGGATTCAATTGTCCTGATTGGGCTTGGGAGATCATTCCACAGCAAGAAATTAAAACGTTCTTGAGATTGATTTTTGTGCCTCTCTGTAATTGCACTGATACCGCAAGGCACTGCTCACTTACCGACTGAAGGTTCCTGGAGGACATGTAGACTCGTAAGAGAGACTGTATGTAGGAGGTGGCGGATACCATCTGACATGAGCTCTTTTGGGTTTGTTGCCTCAGAATTTGAACTAAATAAGGTATTCTACTTTTTGAAACACTTAAAATGCTGTCCATGTAGGCAATGCAGTAGGTTTTGGAACAGAGCCATTGCAATTTTCCATGTATTGTTGTTGGACAATGCCAATTCCACTGTGGACCAAGCACTTGAGGGCATCCTTTTAGCTCGACTTGCTCCAGGCAAGAATTTCTGATTAATTAAAGGCAACATACTGTCTTAAACGATTGGATTAGAGAAAATCCACATCCCTGCTCAATGTTGTAATTGGTACATGGTCTTTACATCTGTTTGCTAATCCCCCTTCTCAGCGTTTGGGATAATGTTTCATTTGCGATTTCCACATGGAAGTGGAATGGTCCAAGTGGCTAACAGGGCCGGTCAAGTTTTGGGCAACACATTCGATTGCCTAAGGGACCATCACTTTATTAAAAATGATTGTAGGGCTTTGAACAATACAATTACCAAATGATGAGATAATTTAAATAATACGTTGTTTATATTTAAATGTTGAACTACTTTTTTTTTGCAATTATTGATTTTTTTATGATTTTAGTGCTGAAATAAATGTACTAATATTTTACAATAAAGTTCATTGCTTAACAGTATTTAATGTAATAACTAATATTACCTAATAATGAGCAATCAATTTGTTACAGTATATATACTTTTGTATTAACTAACTTTCAGCTATTCATTGTTTGGTCATGTTAGTTCACTGTGTATAAGCTAATGTTAACAAGTGCAACCTTTGATTTTAATAATGTATTAGAACATTTTGAAATTAATATTAACTAAGATTAATAAATGCATAAGTATTGTTCATTCTTAGCTCATGTTAACTAATGAACCATATTGTAAAGTTTGACCAGAAACTGCACGCATGCTCTCAGAATGTAACTCATATTAATATGACTTTACAGCACCAAATGATATATTTAGCAGAACAAAGTCTGCCAGTGTCATGCATTTCAGAAATGCATATGCATGTAGAAAATCCCCCATGTATCATTTTCAAAGCATAATAATTGATTTTCTTGGTCTACAATAATTGTCTGAATAATTTAACACTGTTTAATGCATTGCCTTATTTTCAATCTGACCAGTGTGAACCTGTAGTAACCCACAACCCCACGGCGGCCCCGCTGGTCACAGGATACCTCCACAGAATGCTGTCCATGCCAGCTCAGCTCCCCACCGACCGATGCCACTGTCCCGCTCTGAAGGTAAAGTTAAACCATGAAAGCATTCTTAAAATGAGCGAGTTAGCACTCAACAATGGATCCTGAGGTAATGCCGCATGCAAAATTAATGGCCAATTAAAGCACATTTATGCCAGTCCGTATACCTGGATGACAGCCAGAGACCGAAATAACAGCTTATTAGAAGCAATTTAGCACAAATAAGGGGGTGTTTGGGCACAGACATGCACTTCATCAGCAGGCGATGCTCAGCTAATCTCTTCTGAAGTACAAAGAGCTAGAGTTCATGCTAGGACTCCTCTTTGAATTTTGATCACAGTGTTTTAGACCTGAGCCCATTTAGCATATTAACATTGCATTATGTAACTTATGTGTATTTAAAAGGCGGATCAAGGGCTTCCGGTTTTGGCAGGACATTCTGGACAAAAGGGAGATAAAGGAGACATGGTAAGGAATGGGTTTCATCAATCACGCATTGATTGTAAATAATACAAAATGGCTTAGTTCTTTGTTCAGTGACATTTAAAGGAGTAGTTCACCTTTTGCTGATAATTTACTCACCCCCATGTCATCCAAGATGTCCACGTCTTTCTTTCTTCAGTTGAAAAGATATTAAGGTTTTTGATGAAAATATTCCAGGATTTTCTCCATATAATGGACTTCATTGGGAACCAAACGGTTCAAGGTTCAAATGAGAGTTTCAGTGCAGCTTCAAAGGGCTTTAGGGCCGGTTCACATATCGCGTCTTTTGTGCGCTCAAGTTCGTTATTTCAAATGTAGGCGCGCGGTATGCGCGCTCATAATGGAAGCGATGCGGTCGCGGTGCGACGCGCTCGTTTTTTCCATGCGCGTCCGCGCCGCGTCGAGATAAAAACATCTCAACTTTTCAGAATACCGCAAGCGCACCATACGCACACAATAGGTCATGTGACAAGAACCAACTGAAGCGCAACCGCCCTGGCGCTTCGGAAAATGGAGAATGCGGCGCGCCCAGCGTTTTCTACGCGTTTTTAGGCGCTATATGTGAATCCGGCCTTAAACGACACCAGGGGCCTCATGTACAAAGACTTGTGTTGAATTCATACTAGAACATTGCGTACGAACAAAGCTGTAAATGTGCGTACGCACAAAAAAAACCAAACAGATGTATGAATGTCTGCGTACGAAGGATCCCACGCATATTCTCTTTGTACCCCAACGTAACGTAAAATTGAGCGCATATGCACGAGCACAACGCCCCACCCAGTCTCCTCTCTCAATTAAATTAATTTAAATATGGTAATTAGTCCAATTTAACTAAAGAAACCTGCGAGAAACTAAATTTCACTGAAAATGTCTTCAATGTGAATATATGTGAAATTGTAATGTATTCCTGTGATCAAAGCTGAATTTTCAGCATCATTACTCATCTTCAGTGTCACATGATCCTTCAGAAATCACTCTAATATGATGATTTGATGATAAAGAAACATTTATGATTATTATCATGGTTGAAAACAGCTGTGCTTCTGCTTCATGTTTTCATGGAAACCATGATATGGCATTTTCAGGATTCTTTAATGAATAAAAACTTAAATCAGAAATCTTATAATCTTTTGTAACATTATAAATGCATTTACTGGCACTTTTAAACAAATTCAATGTGTCCTTGCTGAATAAAAATATTACTTTCCTTGTTTACCTTTACTGACCAAATTAATGAAGTTTATTTTTGCTTATTTATGCTTTATGTTCTTACTTAATATCATAATAGAATATTTTAATAAGACTCGTGTGACATAATTTGTAATTGATACATTATTTGACATGTTATTAAGCAATATCTGACAGCTGGTGGTGCGATAGAACAATTCGTAGTGTAATGTGCCACTTCACTTTATTGCCTCTATGAGTCGCCAACGGACAAAAATAAAGGCTTACTTTTACTTGGAGGAACGCACATTCTTACGTTAATTTCACTGTTAGTACATCTGGCTGTGAACGTGAAAACTGGCGTTCACCATATTTTTGTACGTACGCAGTGTTGATACATAAGGCCCCAGACGATGAATAAGGGTCTTATCTAGCGAAGCGAATCTTTTTTTGATTCATTTCGTTTATTTCGTTTGTTGAATGAACCAAATGACTCGAAAAAAGATTTGTTCATTTTGATGAACAAGTTCGAACAGGAGAGTCACGAACGCGCATCACAGAACACGGCAAGGCGAGCATTTGTGCTTATAAAACTTAAAGTTATGGATTTATTTTTTAAATGACTGAACGTTTCGCTAGATAAGACCCTTATTCATCGTCTGGTGTCGTTTAAACCCTTTGAAGCTGCACTGAAACTCTCATTTGGACCTTGAACCGTTTGGTTCCCAATGAAGTCCATTATATGGAGAAAATCCTGGAATGTTTTCATCAAAAACCTTAATTTCTTTTCGACTGAAGAAAGAAAGATGTGGACATCTTGGATGACATGGGGATGAGTAAATTATCAGCAAAAGTTTTTTTTTTTTTTTTTTAAAAGTGAACTACTCCTAATAGATCTGTCCTTTAAAAGAAGTGACGTGCATTAAGATTCACTTTTCTTGTCAGTATTATACAAAATTTTTGGTCCACTTTAATTCGTTAGTTATTATTATCCCAACATATTTAAAGCGATGTTTGGCTTCTCTGTGAGGATCTTTGGCAGCAAATAGACATGTTGCCTTCCTTGTGTCACTTAGAGTTTGGAGCCACTGTAAGAATGTTTGGAATTCACACAAATGAACAGCTGATGATATATTTGTTAAGGACAAATGGTCTTTAAGGTCATTAGTCAAATTAGTTTGTTGTGTTTTGGAATAGAGACGTTTCTTGACAAGAACCACTTGCTTAGTCCGGGGTGGGGAATTCGGAATACCATTTGGGAACAAGCAGCCAATAAATTCACAGTCCTATAGGACAAACTTCTGAGAAATGTTGCTTTACTTTTTTACATAATTAATGCGGCTGCTGCCAAAATGTTTTTTTTTGTTTTCAAATCCGGTAGGAAATGAGACTACAGTTTTTCTATTGATCTCTTCCAAATTATCCTGCACAACAGTCGCATTACTGTAGCCTTTGTTGCAAATGGAATTGTTGACTATGTGTATGACATTTATCAGACACATGTTTGTTCAGTTAATTGCTCAGTCAAACAACAAAGCTTCTTTTATATCTTGACAACTGGAGTTTGTTATATTGTTGCATTTTGTCGCTCCCGCTGCTTCAGATGTCGAGTTTTTCAGTGATTGAATCCTGATTGAAACGAATGACTGTTCAATGTCATGCTGAATGTGTTTTCGGAAATATTATGCAGTATTTTCTCAATGCAATAGAATATACAGGGCAAGTGTAATTGCATTTGGAACAAGAACATGACCAATAGCACATATTGAATTTATGATGCATTTCCAAGATATTGCATCAGAGCTGTGAATTAACATTTTAACAGAGGCCTACTGAAGGTGAAAGGGAATTTTATAGTGTTCCAGGTGCCTCTATGCTTGATAAAATCATTGTTTGGCTACTGGAGTCTCAAGTATCGTTACAGTATACGGGCAGATAATTGGATAATTCAGCATTTCATGACACCCCTAGGCTATTGTTTTCTTTTTTTTTCTTTTTTTGTGGATCGCTATACTGTGTACGTGCATGCTCCAGTTCTCAAGTTGTCATGACTGGAATGCTACATGGCTCCCGTGGAATAAGTGGACAATCCCATGGGATATTCTAGGATCGGGTTTAGCACTCTTCGTATACTCAAATCTCCATTTGCAGTAGTTTAAAGTCAATAGGTCATCACAGAGAATTTTTTTTTCTTCCATTGTCCTATTTTAGAATGAAACACGCTTTCATATCTGCCTTTGTCTTTCGTCTTGTCACAGTAGGGCGGTCGTTAATCAGAGATCAGTGTCAGAACTGTCGGGACACACTTAAATTGTTGCCCCTTGTTTGTGATGGTATTAGACGAAGGGACATTAACATTCTACTAGAAAGCATTTTATTGGACAATGAAACTATGTAGACCTAATGTAGACATTTAGACACTTATTTTGTGTCCATTTTCTCATTTAATGTCAAATATTTTAGCATATTAGTCCGTGGACACTGGTCTGGACACACTCAGAGCTCACAAATATGGACTAAAAGAGAAAAACCGTACATTTTTAATAACATGAGGTCTTTTTGAGTGTTATTTCGTTAGCAGTTATTGTCTAGTGTCAATTATTCATATTTTTTTTGTCTTATGGGTTTCGTCTCGGCACTCGCTCATTATATAACATTCACTGTCAAAATAGTCTGGACACACTTAATTTGTTGGCTGTATTAGTAGTTTTATGGATGTGTAGATTAGAAAAGTTTGCACTCATGGCACTCATTAAGTGTGTGTAAAGGTTTGCAAACAGAATATAATTAACTTCTTTCCATGCTCAACAACAAGACCCCATTTAACTGTTTGACAAATGCTTTTTTACTTTCTTGTGACACATTTTCTTTTAATATAGTCAAGAGATTTTGTTTAATGGCACATCAGTGTACCATTTCCAATTTCTAATGCTACACTAAAAAAAGTTCCATTAAATGGAACAAAGCTTGCATAGTATCAAATAAGAATTTATTCACAATGTTTAAGCTCTAGTTCTCATTTAATCATACTTATAATCATTCATTCGTAATACATAATATGAATAATATGTGAGGATTAATCAGTTTAAATTTGGAATTGTACTACAATTGAAATTCGTAAATCTTAAAAATGGGCTGGAATATTGTTTTGAATGCTGTTTCAGGTGATATAATTTTATTGAACAAAACATTCGCATTGGCCCCTGTAAAGTGTCAAAGTGTTTGTCATCTTTTAGTAGTGTGCTGTTGGCATATCATTGGCCCAAAAAACGACATGGCGTCTTTATGTAAATTATCGTTGTGATAGGGCTGGGCGATAAATCGATTTTATCGATTAACTCGAATTTGTTGTTTGCGCCGATTTGCGGCGATTTTCTTGAATGAAAATCAATTTAAAATTTCTTAAACAACCGCTAACGCGGCCATCTGGGCTCCCGTAGTTCCGACCGCGTTCAGCGCTTGCTATTCACTAACAACATGGCAAATGAACAAGACCGCGGCAGAAGAAGCACACCCGCCGAAAACATGTACAAGCTGAAACTGCAGGGCCGCTAACTCTCACAAATTCACTGTGAGAGACGGGGACACTCTCTCACGCACACATCCATTTTCTCACGCAGAGAAACATCGCGAAGCAAACAGCAAGAGGACACTGACACCAACAGACAGAGCATGTTGTTATTGATATGAGACAGTTTCTCAGCTCTCAGATTCTGTCAATTTTATTACGAAATTCAAACAATAAACACCGTTTTGGCGCTTGTAAATGTGACGTGATCACGTGAAAGATCACTAACAGATCTCAGTTCAAGCGG